AAATACAAAGTCTTATAAATTACTAAGGATGCTCGCGGTTTGGCGGTTCGGTTGCGGCCAAAAAAATCTCAACCGCCATCAGTCCGTCAAATTTGCGGATTTGGAAAAAATCAATCCGTAACCATCCGCTCATCATCACGCATCCATCCAAATGTGACGCGGTTCGATCGGTTTGACGAATCGATATTATCCGCTGCTCGTCTCTACTTAAAATTACGAAAATATCCATCACTTTTCTTCCTCGCTCTTTCTTCTGCGATCTCAGTGGCACTTACCACCCCTCACCCTTTCTAGCTCCTTCTCCACACCTCGCTCACTTCAGTTGCCCACACTCTCAACCTTTTTCCCACCCCAATGACCATCCTAACCCCTCTAAATGACCACTGCGGACGTATGCGAAACATAAGAAAGATTGAGAAAGAAAGAGAGAGATTGCCAGTGAAAGAGGAAGAAAGATGCTAATATTTATAGGGAAATTTGCACGGGTAGTTGTGGTTATTAAATGAAAAAAAAAATATATATATATATATATATTATAAAAATTGACGCATTTAAATAATTTACATAGAAGGTACGGCAAATCACGTATATACTTCATTTGGTCACGCTGTCCACAGATTACGTTATATTTTCTACTTTTGAATGAATTGTTTGGTGCAATTTTTTTTATAAGTATAAAATTAATAAATAGAAACTAAAAGTTAAAAGTATCATTTCTTTTATTTGTTTTTGAGAAAAAAAAAAATTCAATATTTTTTTTGAAAAAATGGAAACCAATTTTATAAAAATAAGGATAAATTACAAATATACCCTCTGAGATTTGCTTAAAGTACAGATTGTTTCCTGTAATTTGAAAAATTACAAATACTCATTTTTAAAAAAAATTATTTAACAGAATTAACTAAAAAAAGAAATTCATAATTGTTCTCCGATATAATAATAAAATTACCTATATTATTAATTGAAACATATTTATAATATCATTAAAAATTGTTAATTGACTTAATGATTTATTAATAAAATGAACAATTTGTTATAAAATTAGAAATCTCAGGGGATGGAATGTAATTTCTAAAATCAAAGGGGGTGATTCGTATTTTAATCAAAACTCAGGAGATGTATTTGTAATTTACCTTAAAAATAAATATCAAAAAATACTATTAAATTTTAAAAAATTATTTATGACCTCCCAAAAAATAAAATTATGTAAAAATAATAAATATTTTTTCCATTTTTTAATTTCTTTCACCAAATTAAAATTTAATTTTTTAAGAAAATTTTTTAAAATAAATTTCTGAAAATCAAACCAAACCCAACATAGTTTCATAGGAGATTTGCGGAGAGTAGTTGTGGTTAAACATTATAAAAATTGACACATTTAAGTAATTTACAAATATTATGGAAGGTACAGCAAAGCAAGTATATCTTTCACTTGGTCATACTGTCAACTAGGGTAGATAAAGGCGGTTGGCTCGCCCAGTCCACCTGATCCAGTCCTATTTTTTTAGAACTTGGACAGGTTGTTTTAGAGTCGAGATGGACTAATATTTTTAATTCGAAATATTAATAGGTTAGATTTGAGATTTATATTGTCAACCTAGCCTACTCAGTTCAGTCTGTTATTAAATTAATTAATTAATTATTTTATTTCTAATATATTAAAATATATATATTTTTGGATCTAGACTTTATTTTTGGTGATTTTATTGAAATTCACATTTATGGTGACATGTGATTGAATTTATTTAAAAAATCTTTCAATTTATAATAATGTCAATATATTTATTTAAGAAATATAATATATTATTGAATTTAATTATGGAATGATTTAATTTTCTTTTAACATATAGCCATTAGGTGAGTTTATAATTTATAATTATTTTTTGGACGGGACTTGGGTAAACATAGAGGCCTGATTTAGAGCCGGGCCGGGTTTGGGCAGATACAAAATCCTTTATTATGTAGTGTTAGTCCGGCCCAAACCCAGTCCGGCTCGATGATTGTCCACCCATTGTCAATAGATTACATTATATTTTCTACTTTTGAAAAGAGTTGTTTGGTATAATTTTTTTTATGAGTAAAAAATTAATAAATACAAAGTAAAAGTTAAAAGTACCATTTTTTTAAAATTTTCAATTATCAATTTCTTAGCATATTTAAATTACTTTTATTTAATGAATTATAAACAGAAATTGTACTAAACACACTAATACAAAATTTTATAAGTTGAGCTTTTCTTATGTTAAGATCTCAATATGAGAACACTTGAGGGACTTATAAGGTTCACCACAAGTCCTGTTTTGATCATCTGAATCCTTCATTTTGTAGGCCCTCAAAATGTGTAATATCTATAATAAAAAATTAGCTCAATCTAATAACCATAACTTTTATTGCATTTATCTCTGAAAAAATGGACAAGAAACATTTTTTTTAAATAGATCATTCAGCTTTTTAGAAACAAATGTTATAAAATAAAAGATTCCTATTATCGAAACGGAACTCATAATAAGCCATGTAAATCCCCCAAATTCTCTCATATTGAGAGAAGCCCAACCCCATTTTATAATTAAAAAAAAGTTACTTAACCCTAAAAAATTGCACCAACTAACCAATCCTTACTAAAGTTTAGCGCTTTCTCATTGGATTAGAGCAAGTTGGCCAATACAAACTACATTCACCTCCTATAAAATTTTAAGAAAGTGGAAAATTTTACTATACACACTTTATATGTATTCTTAAGTTATATTATTTTTTTCTTTACTTATGACTAATTTTTTTATTTAATTATGATCTTATTTTAATTATGACTTGTAAAATCTTTGGTTATACCTCATATGTTATTTAGTTATAACTTTTTTATTTTTAGTTATAACTTTAAAAGTATAAAATTATGACTTTTTTTAGTTATAAGGTACATATAACAAACCCTTTGAGAGGTGTGCACCATAGTCTTTAGCTTAAAAATATAGTATAATAATTTTAACATAATTGTATTAGTTTTATTTATAATTTTAATTCACACTATGCTTAATTCATTTTGCATTAGTAATTGTCAGTCGTATTACACTATGGGCATGTTTGATTGGATGGATTAGAGCATCGGATTGAGATTATTAATCCGTGGGCCCAATTATCCTATGTTTGTTTTAACATTTGGGTTTAGGATTAATCCAATGGATAATTAATCCAACAAATTTGTAGGATTATTAGTAATAGGGTAGGGGTGAGATTATTAATCTAATTGGATAGTGAATACCACACTAATTTGATAGGATTATTAATACCTCACTATTAGCCTTGTGAATCAAACATGGCCTATATGTATTACTATTAATCTCTTTAAGCTTATTAAAAAGAAAATCAATGTAATTATACAAGACTATGAGATTTATTTATATTTCTACAATTTTTTTGCAAGTCCACCAGAGTTGGTTATGTTTTTCTACCCGTCAACCTACAATTCGTAAGTTTAAGACTAGGAAACTACATATCAACTTATTTGAACCAAAAATAATTACCAACACATAGGGGGTGATTTTTTTTTTTAATTAAGAAAAAAACAAAAAATGTAGTTCAAAAAAATTCAAAAATGATAGAGACATCAAATTTTTTACCACAATTTCTACTAAACACTCACATGTGTGAATCCCACATGTGTGAGTCTTACATCTGTGAGTATTTGATAAAAAAAATTAGGATAAATTACAAACACAATTTCTGAGATTTACTTAAATTATAAATTATTCCCAGTAGTTTTAGAAATTACATTATACCCCATAAAGTTTTTAATTTCATAACAAATAGGTCCTTTTATTCATAAATCATCAAGTTAATTAACAATTTTTAATAATGTTAAAATTTTATTTCAATTAATAATTAAGATAATTTTATTATTGTATAGGTGAACAGTTAAAAATTTCACTTTTTCAATTAATTCTATTAAATAAAAAATTCTGACAACTAGGTATTTATAATTTTTCAAACCACATGAAATAATTCATATTTTAAGCAAACCTCAAGAGGTGTATTTGTAATTTACCTAAAAATTTATATCATTAACATTGCTCAAAAAAAATTTAAAAAAAAAAATAAATAAATAAAACTCACTCTTTAATAAATATTTGCCCCACGTCTCACTAATTGGTAATTTGCCCTTGCACTTTCCAAGGTAGGTTAGGGAGGATAAGGTTTGGGGCAAGTTGGCCAATTGCAATTTTCATTTAAGCTTGAACTTATTCAAAAGCATATTTCAACTTGTTTAATGGCCATATCCACAATTGTGTTGGATACAATACAACTCAATAATAAATTTAAAATTCAACTCTATTTCTCACTAATTAAACCGTTTAAAATTTTAATATAAATTACAAACACATCACATTTACACTTATTATTTATATGTGTGCGCCTATGATTATATGTCAACATTCATATATACAGAATAATATTTGCTAAATTCACATTTTCAAGAAGAGGGTGAAGTAAGAGCGTCAAACCATTTTTCGTGTAGAGAATAAACAATGGTTAGTAATGACAGGAACTTCTCTTGCATTTTTGCAGCAAGAAGCTATACACTTGCAATGAGGATTTGTAAATCTTGTAACATTGAGATTCATAGAATCATGTCAAAACCATGGTTAGCCAAACAAACTATGGTTACTCTGCCTTAGCCTTTGTTTCAAACTAGATTGTCTTATTAATTTTTTTAACCTATTTTATCTTTTTATGACTAAAATAGCCAAAAAAAAACCTATACCAAAGTCTTTAGTTTGACCAACATCCTAATGTTATTCAGCTAAGGCCGAATACAACTAATTTCCTTGACCAACTAAGGTCAAATACTTGTCCTGTCTCATTTGCCTGACAAATCAATTATGTTTGGGCTTGATTGACGAAACAAAACTCAAACCTAGACCCCAAAAAGAGTAATAAAATAACCAATTGTGTTGAAATAAACAAGCTTTTTCGTAACTAAAATCCTCTCATTACTCAAATAAACGTAAATAACATTTTGATTACTATAGTTTAGCATTGAATGATCACGCAAACATGAAAACTAGCAACACATAAGGAAACACAGTTGTAATTTAACTCCAACATATGAACAGAGAAGTGCATGGTCTGATTTGATTTGTACACTGGACCATATGCTCATGTCATAGTGTTACCATGACATCTTTAGGATCTTTCAACCATAAGTGAAAAAAAATTAAATTAAATTAAATTAAAAAGAACAAAAAAATAAAAAGACAATGATACATTGGATGGCTGGAGACATTTGTTTACAGAAGTGATAGACTCTGCTCACTAAGTTGGTTCAGCTGATTCTGATGATTCCTGTGTCGGTTGATTTCTCACTATCAATACCTTCTTTTGTAATTCCAAGTTTGACATCCGCTCATCCTCCAATGCTCGCTCAAGCTTTTAACCAACCGACCAAAGGTATTAGCGTAGTGTTATTCAAAGATAGATGACCAAAATTCGAAGTGTTTGTAATAAATCTATATATCATTGACAAAATTGCTAATACTATCATACAAATGAAGAGTGAAAAACATATAGAACCCAAAAACAAAACAAAAAAACGATATTACCTTTGCTGCTCTAGTACTCCATTCCCCTAGTATAGCTCTCAGCCTTTCATTCTCCTCAACATACTGTTCCAGCAATGACATGTGAAATTTAACAATATGATTTAAAAAAAAAAAAAATTTTAAAAAAAGAAGGAAAAGAAAGAGACAAAAAGAAAGACGGTCTAACTGATGCAAAGATACCATTTACAATAATATATTGACTTCACAAATGATATTTTGATGCTGAAAATGTTTTTAGGGGAAATTTTAAGGGTCCTATCAGTCCTGACAGTCAACAAACTGATTATCCTCCCCACTGGGAAGCCAAATGCCGACAAAATGAGTTGCGAGTCCATCTCCAAATGCCATCTTGAGGAAAACAGAAGGCCTAGCTGAAGCAAATTTTAAGGGAAGGAAATCATTGTGCAAATAAGAATATACATGATAGAGGATAAATTCATTCAACAGTCTTTCAGTTCACTCCAGTTCTCACCAAAAACAAGAATTATGGAAAACAAATCTGTTCGGATTTTTAAAAACTTGTTTTCTAATTTTATTTATTTATTTGAAAAAATTAGAAACTATTTTGACAAAATAAATACTAAAAAATATTATTTTTTTTATTTGCAAAAGTTTTCACTTCAAAAAGGAGAAAACCCATATAAAAATATGTTTTAATTTTTTATTTTTTCACTTTTTTCACCAAACTAGTTTTTGAAATTTTCTTAGAAAACAAATTCTAAAAACTTAACCAAACTGCATTCGATTAGTAAGGCTTGATGCCCCCAATAGGTACCTTCCTTAGCAATGAGAAAATCAAAATTTTCTATAAATGCAGAACTCTGTCCAAAAGAATAGAGAAAAAGAAAAAGAGAAAAAAAAAGAAGAGAAGATGATACAGACTGACAGACACTGTTTTCCTTCCAAGGATTTGCTAGTGTTTCTGGTTCTTTTTTCCAAAGATAAGGATTTTCAATTCTTTTGTTCTTATTTTATCAAATCCCATTGTTTGAGTTTTTGTTTTCCATATCTTTTATTTGTGCCTCACAACAAGAACAATAACAAACTAGGTATCTATATAAGCATATAAGATGGGACAGAGATTAAAGACACTACATAGACTAAATCCATAATGCTAGTAAAATACCTGATTATTGGTAGTGCGAACACGCTGGATCTCAGAGTCTCTCTCAGCAATCAAAGATCGAGCAAGGCTCAACTCAGATTGCAATTGATTCATCTGAACATAACAATCATTCTCAACATCACCAAAAAGAAACAATATCACTCAGATTGAAATGCTTGATGAGGTTCATAGTTCACATGATTCTAGGTTGGGAGTTCTGTAACTTAGAGAGATAAGAGAGCTTTCTGATGAGCAAAAGAAGTAGGCGAGAGGTTCAGAATCATGACAATTGAGTAAATTCTAATTGTGAATTGCAGGTTAATTACATGATTCAAGTGTAGAGCCAAAAGTAAGGAGCATAATGAAAACTGGAAAAGCAAGAGGAAAGGAAACACAAAAGAGAACCACTAGGCAAGCATTATAAATATTCTACTCAGATGAAACAGCATTAAATTTTAACCTTCTTTGGGTTGAGAAAACAATGTATTATGAAATTTATTAGATTATTAGTTACATTTGACATGTGAGGTTTATCCTCTATGTGTTTCCTTATTGTTGGTTGGTAATATCAAACATGAATGATGACACAGTATTATTATATTGAATTTTACTCAAATTTTGTATAAAAAAATTACTTTATCATTATATAATTTATTTTAAAAATTATATCCATGACTTTTTTTATATTGTCCATGATACACTAAATACAAATAATAATTTTTTTTTTTAATCTTTCTTGGAGACAATTGTAAAAATATATGTGAAATATTTTTATAAAATTTTTTAATATTGTAATTAATAAGTGTTCCATTTGATTTAATTTTCTAACTCTGTCATTGAGTAAACTTATTATTGTTCGTACATAGCATTAATGGATTTGGAGTGCCTCTTGTGCCCCCAGCATAGCAGACACTGATGTGTGGCCTATTAGACTTATTTATTTTGATGATTTATTTAATTATGTTTTTAATTTATTTGGACGAGAAAAATAGAATCAAAATTTATTTTGTCCCATTATTTCTCACTTAAACCTTTATCCTAAATGTTGTTAGAATGTATTTAATATTTGATTAAATCAGGAGTTCAAACAACTCAAAACAAAGGTTCAAACAGCCCAGCACAAGTGGAAGATATTCAAATTTGTAATGATGGAGTGGAAGATATTCAAATTAGTAATGATGGAGTGCAACGGCTACAAATGGCTATAAATTCAAATGAATACAACGACTATAAACGGCTATAAGTTTCATTATATATACCAAAATCTTTAATGTAAACAAGTTACAAAAAAAAAAAAAAAAAAACTAGAAAATATTCTTTGATCTATAATCACTCACATCTATTCTCTGAAAAATCCTCTGAGAAGTGTTCTTCAATTTTTATTTACATCCTCTCTAAAAAATAATACACTGAGCCTTATAGCATTAAACTCATCTTTCCTATGTGAGGTTTACAGAAAAACCAGAACTTCATTTTTATATCTATCTTTGAGAGATAATTATTGTAACTTTCTGTGAAAGCAAAAATACATTCTTTTCAACCTTATAAGAGTGTAGTACACTAAGTGTTCTTGAATTAGAAAGTCTGTGTAAAATCTGTGGAGAATTACTCCATCTGTGAAAAGGTTACTAGCACCCTGTGAAGCTAGAAGATAGTGAAAAATCTCAAGTGAAGTTTGAAGAGTGGATGTAGGCTTGGTTGAAGTCGAACCACTATAAATTTGTTTGTCTCCTCTTCCCTAATCTCTTTACTTTCCTACTACTGCTATATCAATATAATATTCATGTACTAATCATTTGATTTACCCTGTATGTTAGTTATACTTCATTGTTATTTTGCTTGATCATTTACTGCTAAGTTCATCATTGTGCGCTTGTTAATTTGTTGTACTAGTAGTTAATTTTATTGGGATATTATTAATTTTAATTTATAAAAACCTAATTCACCCCCCCTCTTAGATTGCTTTTTGGGTAACAAATTACCTGAGGGGTGCTCCCATCATTGGATCGCTCATATTTGCTTAAACATTCTTGTAACCGAAGGATCTGAAAGGATACAAAAGGTACGGAAATTATGAGAATCACATTATCACTTTTTACCACTAATGAACTAATTATGCATATCAGAGCATCTCATTGCCCACTATCAATCAATACCTCCTCACTTAGAAAGTGAAGATTTTCCCGTTGATATTGCAACAAAGCCATTTGCTGATCAGCAAGCCGACCACCATCATGGTACCTGCCATGTTAAGCAAATATCACTACATGAATATTGCCGTTTAAAAGGTTTGTTTTGGTTTATATAATGGTGAAATAATTTAGGTATTACAGTTACAACTCCCTCAACTTACATAAGAATCATTGTAACATATCAATATATATCAATCAATAATACAATTCTCTCTATTTCTCTATACATAATTAATTCTCTCTGGTTGGGTGAACCCTTCCAATTTTCAGAAAAAGTATGTGCTGCCTTTGAAACTCCAATCCAAGGAACCATACAAAGATTCCAACGGAAAACCAAAAAAATAATTATATTCTGAAGAATATTCGAAGTTCAAGTCGGCACATGGAACACATGCACCTAGTAGTACATTAAGCCTTTTGTAACCATTTCCTATGATTCAGAATAGTAACTAAATTTTCAAAAAATCAGATTACTAACCCAACGACAAAAAATAATAAAAATGATCTTTAATTTGACTTATTGAACCTTTACAAGGGGATGTCAAAAACAATTTCACCATGCAAACTTCCATGATCCAACCAAGGAGTAAGAAGTAGTGCCTCTTAGGTGTGGTGGAATCCGAGTAGCTAATTGCACTAATGTAAAGTATCAGCCAAAAATAAAAAAATAATTGAATAATTACTCCCTCCATCCTATAGTGTTACTCCTTATTTCTAATTTAGGATGTCCAAAATATTAGTCCTCTTTGAAAAGTCAACATAAAACTTTATAATTTTCCAAATAATAAATATTTAAAAGTAGGAATGAAGGGGAAGTTTTTTCTTTTGGAAATCAATTCCTTCTTAATTTGAATTTGAACTACAAGTCCCCTTAAAAATTGGAATTCCCAAAGGGGACTAACATTGTGAAATGAACAAAATAGAATACATTCATGACGTGTTCAACTAAAATATAAATTTATAACATTGACGTCAATCTTTACAGAAAAACAAGGAAATTAGAAGTAGACACTCACAAAGCTAAAATTGTTTCACAAAAATTGAGAATATAGGTTCAAAAATATATCACTACCTCAACCCTTCCAAAGAACTTGATGGCTGAAGGGGAGAATATAATGACTTCAAAACATCAGGATGAGAATCCAACGAATTATACTGGTGTATGTAACCTGCAAGCAAAAAAATGAGAAAATTTTATTTAATTCTGAAGAGAGAGAGAGAGAGAGAGCGAATGACATTCAAATTATCAAATGTGAACACATTGGAAAAGAAACTTTCACTGGAAAAAAGAAAAAAAAAATTCCCCAAATTAAGTTTTGCAAGAAGTAAACCTAAGTTCGCAGTAGGCTGGTAGCCATGAACACCCAGAAGGTGGGTTGGCTCTTGTACTCTTTTTTTTTTGGTTCAAATAGCTGGTAAAAATTGTCTCATTGGAGCAGTTGTGAGATTTATTTGATCTATGTTATACAGACTCTTCTATTTTCCCCAATGTTGGGATATGCATCCAATACCTGTACCCAATTTAGAAACCTGGATCCTCTAATTTTACAGGATGTTTAAAGAAGAAGACGTTCACATTTGCTAGTAAATAAGGTCTAGCTTCTCACACGGCTAGGAGATACAAATTTCATATTTTGTAACTGAGGTTCAAATGTGTGTCAGCAACTCTGTAGGAACTTCAATTAGGGGCAAAAAAGAAGTCAGTACTAGGAACTTTTGATGCAGCATAATCTGTCCCTAAAGTAAACAAGGGGAAGTAAGTATAAGCCACTTTACATGCATCAAAATAAACTGCAAGACATATACACCACTCCATTACCAAAGATATATTTAGGAGTTGCATGGATTCAACTCCTGAATATGTCCAAGTATGCATGCATGTAAACTCACCAACGTATACGCTCATGAAAAACCCAGCACATACTACTTCAATCAGCATAATGATCCTGTGAATTTGGCACGTAAGCAAAAATATAGTCAGCAAAACATACTTCTGAAAAGTAACAAGATCAGTTCTGAACTTGAAACCGCCAGAATAGATAACTAGCTTTAGTTTCAGTACTGATTCATCCAGGAGGACTGGGATCAACTTAACAGATTTGACTAAATTTGTCAAAAATAATTCATACCGCAGTGTTAGATTAAAAAATACAGAAAGATGAGTGAAATTCATCAACAACACATGCTTGAACTCAAATATATATATATATATATATATTAAAAAAGAAAAAAACAAATTACAAGAAAAAAGATGTACAAGGTATTGAAATGTTCTATCTACTGGCATATTACCACCATCAAAAATGCAATCATGGATCTGAAAAAAAGACAATTAAGAGAGCAGTGAAGTATTTTTCCATAAGGCGGGTTACAAGTTCTGGAGTTGCTACCGACTATGCTTCGTGGGCAGTCTCTACTTCATTAACTGAACTTCCTCGTTACTTCATATAAACAAGCATGGCTACCATCCATCAGACATTGAACGAAATGACAAATTAAACATGGCATCATAGGGCTACTACCACAACTATCAACCGTAACTTTCTTTCTTTTATTTTTGACAAGTAAAACAAATATTAATGAAGAGCATCCAAAGGGGATGCTACACATAAAAAAGGAATCAAAGGTTACACTTAATAACCTCGACATGCAATGTGTCGTATATCTCTATCTCTCAGCAAATCCCATTCTATATCCCCTTTTTATGATGAAAAGGAATCTTATAGAATCAACATTGTTCACTACTAGATGTGGAAGCACACATGTATGCATGTGATCACCACCATACTTGATACTTGTATGTGAAGCTTACCATGTACAAAAGTTTGTGCCTAGAGGGGGGTGAATGGGCCAAACATTGACTAGTTACCACTTTTAAAAATATCGGCCAATTAACAATACCAATTCAATCTTAGATCAGGTATGATAAGGCAAATCATCATAGAATAATAAAACAAGAAAGTGAACATAGTGATTTAATGTGGAAACCTTATGGGAAAACTCTCCCACGAGATATAAAAAAAAAAAAAATCCCAACACTGCAAACAATCCACTAAAAATCAAAGGCTTACAAGACAGGTTTACAAGAGTCAGATGAAAGAACTATTTACCTAGTTAACCTAACTTCAAAATCTCTCTACACTCCATGAGCTCAGCCTGAAATAATCAACCTCTTTTGATTTGTCATACCACCATGAAGATCCTCACCTTGATCTCTGTCTGTGACAATTCCATTGACCTAAATGGCTATGGGATGTCAAGATACTAAAGTGCAATACATAGTGTGAAGATAATTATTTGAAACTCGAGAGAGAAAAAAAAATTTCTTAAGATGCTAAGGTTGAAAAACACTCAAAACTCTCTCAAGACTATTCAAATAAGTGCCTTAAACCCTAAAAATGGGTTAGGGTCTAACATCTATCAAAAGAGCAATCAAAAACCTAAAACAAACAAATTGGTCATTTTCCCGCATGGGTGATCAAGGCCTTATAGAAAGCAGTCTCTGAAATTTTTATGAGCAAAAATAGGGATGCCATGGCTCAAGCCTAAGGTGACTCTCAAAGAGCGCACATGAGCAATTGAGCACTGGTAAGGCGCACGGGGGATCGAGTGCTTATCAAGTACGCATGAGGACTCACAGACTTATCAAACCCTCAACTCTAGAAATGTGTGGACTCGCTAATTTTGTTAAAAATGGGTTCTATAGTCAATGCAATACTCATCTAATGGAAAAAACAAAAACAAAAAAAAAAATCAAAATCAGTATAATTTGAAAACACACAAGTGTCCTACGAAATATTCAACATGCAATGCAAATATATCACTGAGTGATGTTTGCAACTGCTGATTTGAATCTCCAGCTTGAACATCAACAACTAAGATTCATGTTTTGTCATACAATAATCGCAGACACTATCTATCCTAAATCCTCTCTCACTATGTTTACTCTTAACACAACTCTTGAATTAATTGGTGATTGGAGCCTTGGAGGCAATTGTTGGAATATTAAAATATGACAGCTTCAAACACCAAATGGTGTGTTGCCTTCATAACATAGTAAGGATTTCATAGACCAAAAAAAACAGGAACCACAAAATCCTTGTCATAGCCTTTAATTGGAACTGCTTGAATAAACTCCACAAAAGTTCAATATCAAAAGGCATGTGGATTGCAATAATAGACTAAGATAACAAACATTTTCAGGTTGCCCTAATGAATCATTCATAAGGACACTTATGCCTGCATTGATGCAAAAACTCAAGACACAATTAAAATAAAAAAATTACTTAAAAAAATGCTCAATTAGTACACATTAATGTGTGTTTGGGAGGGGAAAAATTGGGCACACACCTAACTTCTGGCATAGTGCACAAAGTGGTTGCCCCGAGACTTGAACCTATAACCTCAAGGTTATTAGGCCAAGGTTTTACCATTGAATCAATGGTCACCTCTTCAAGACACAATTAATCATTTGTAAAAAAAATTATGCTGCATTGATGCAAAACTCAGACACAATCAACATAAAAGTACATCGGCCTTTCTCCCTTTCAAACTGACATAAAACATGTTAAAACCTATCACCTACTTCACCCACTTAAACCTACTCCACTAAACCTAACCCACTACACCACTACCACCTCACCTACTCCACTAAACCTAACCCACTACACCACTACCACCTCCACTTCACCTACTCCTTACCTACTACACACTCACCCTCTTCTATATATAGGAATCATGAATCATTGTAATAAATAGAACATTATATCAATCAATAATATACATCAAGTTGAAAATTATAAAAAGAATCACTTTTTGATGCTTGCACAAACTTAAATACTCATTGAATAATCACATATCTATATTTATTTCTAAAAAATTCACTTGTATATATATACAATATGAAATTTATGAATCTAATGTAGTCATTATTAAATTATGTAAAACAGAATCCAAAAAGCTTTGTACTAACATCATACGATAGAAAAACGGGTTATTGGGAAAAACATTAAAAAAAAAGAAGTAAAACAATAAAACATAACAAATTGAATATGCACATAACTCAAGAAAGTCAAATAATTAAATCTTCAGCTATTTAGGTGTGGGGAGTGTGTGCATACCTGAGTAAGACTGTGATAGAAAGAATACTAATATGGGGCCTCCACACCATGACAAGCAGCATTGCAGCAGTTCCTGGCAATGAACCAATATATTTGAAATAAATAATTACACAAAGACAAAGTTCACAGATCAATTAGTTAGTCGTATGTCAGATGCAAACCTGAGAATAAAAGTAAGACCATGTGCAATAACCTTGTATGACAAAACTACCCTAACTTGAGAGTATTAAAAAAAAAAAACTTACAAACAAAACAGCCATTTTGTTAATTAAATTAAACACCATCTCTCATTTGAACTGCCTAACATTTCATGTGAAGTTGTGACCAAGTTGATGGAATTGAAAACCATGATTAAAATTACAAAAATAGTTTAAGTAGAACCAAAACTGTCATAAGTGAATCAATGATATTTCTCATTTTGAAACACATAATATTTCCCATGAAACTTTGGTGAGGGCCGGGGGAGGGAAGCCAATGGAATTTAATGAAGAGACGTGAAAAACCATTAGAACATTGGGTTAACCAGAAAGAAAAATGACATTGGTGAAGTGCCATATCTGCCCTAACGAGTGAAAGTAAAATAAAAATTGATAAAATGTGGGTGTTTAGGAAGTGGCTACTTTTTAGGCTTTTTGACTATTTGGCTATTTTAGGCCTCGTTTGGGAACAAGCTAATTTAGTAACTTTTTGGCTATTTGGCTAAAATATAAGCTAAAAAAATTAGTATGTTTGAGATGACTTTTTGAATTTTTACGAAAAGATGTGCAAAAAGTAGAGAAAAAAGAGAATCTTTGACTTTTTAGTATGAGTTGTTGGCTTTTTGACTTTTTTGGTAACTTTTGACTTTTTGGCCAAACCGGCTAGTCCCCAAACGAGGCCTTAGTAGGCTATTTTAGTTTTTGTGTTTGGAAAGATGGGTTGAATTTTTTGTTAGATTGGTGTATTGAAAAATGTATTTGAAATGATGTGGGGTAGTAAATGACCAAAATGCCCGTGTATATTGTTGCTGCTGCTGTGGGTTCTCAAAAATTAAAGGGGCAAAAGCGTCATTTTACCCTCTGTCCGTTACAGCTGTGCATCACGTGGGAAGTCCTCTGCAACAGTACTTCTTTTTGGATTTTTTTTCTGAAGAGGCTAAAATAGCCTATAAATTTCGTTCCCAAACACCGCCAATACAACAGAAGCCAGTTGCAAAAGAATCAACCCTCAATAAAAGAAAAGAAGAAGAATGAAAAGGAAAGAAACTGCCCTCTAGTCCAAAAAGATGAAAATAAACTTGGGTCTCGTAATTTTTTTTACACTAACTACTTATCAATAAATTTTTTAAGAATACCACGTGCTAACACAAATAAATGAGCAACAAATGATTTTGGTGCAAAGAGATCCCTAAATTGTATGCTACGCCAACGAAAATTTTAAACCATTTATCGATCAGAGTATAATTCCATTTCACCATCAAAGTACAACCTTCATAATCCACTAAAGCAATTTTTCCCATATTTCCTAAAGCAAACTATGCAAGTCTGTTGCAGTATTTTATCATCATCAAATAGATCTTCAAAATTGTAAAGATCAAACAAGTAATATGGAGTACAGAATTTGATACCTAATAACATGAATATAATTTCCTACAACAATAGATTGTGCTATATTTTCAACTATATAGCATTAAAAAAAGATCTCTTACCGCCATCATAGTTGAGAAAATGAAACCTGTGGGAACAATAATGAAGAACTAAAATACATACCATATGCAGTGGTGGCAAATGGAAGGCGAACAACATGCTTCAACTTCTGGCTGAAAACATAGTAACCCTGCAAAATGGATGAGCATTTCACATCTAATCTAAGTAAGCAAACAAAAGTATTAGAGATCCCAACACCAATACACAATAAGAGAAACAAATCTGGTTCCTTGTTCCAGCTATAAATTACCCTTCTCCTCCCCAAAAAATAATTGATTGTGGATCAGGAGTAGCTTCATCCCTTAATATAACATAAGCCATTCATTCATGATTAGAAGAAAAATGATTTTATCTTATCCAATCCATGCAGCATTAATGACAACTTCCCAACATCCCAAAACCAGAGAACTAACAGAACAATATCACCCTTCCCACTTTCTGTACTACCCATAAATTTTCACATACGCACGCATACATACATGTGGTTTATACATACACCTGCATGCACAAAGACAATTTCGTGAACTTATGTGCGTAGAACCCACCCCAGCGACAAAAAAATCAACCTAATACCTGTCTTTCTCCTCATACCCTTCCAAATAGGGTGGTTGGATGAAGTTGTACAAGTCCACAATCATCAATGGTAGTATTTAACCTGTCATAAGGATGAGAGGTATAACATGATTGGTATATCTTTCACAAGTCGCCTTTGTTGGCTCGCTGAGAGTTTGGTCCTTTCCTTGAAGATTGTTTTGATTTTGTAGAAATTGAAGTCGTGATTTGTTGTATATGATTTCTTTTCTTTTGTTTTCTTTATTTATTTTCATGTACAGTGTGTACATGGATTCATCCACACCATGCTCATCAAAAACAGAGAGGTATAGCTCTTTCTAACAACACCTATTTCTACTTGGTTTTCCTGATTTTTGGATCTTTTCCCTATCTTCTACTTACTTTCTCCTTATATATAGAGAAGCAACTTTCTTTTTCTCTCATTCTATGTCCTCTCTTTTTTTCATATGATCCATCTTTCCAAGCCTAAAGGTTAGGTTTAATGTCAATCCCATTTTTGTCATTCATGCCAAAAAATCATGTTCATAACTATCTCACACTCAACAAAATCCATATAGAGTTCCAATTACTATTGGGGTCAATTACACTATGATGCCTCAACTATTAGCGAATATCACTTTACCCCCTCATCTATAAACTCGCACATATTGACCCCCCTAAACTATTGTATACATCCCTTTTAGAGGTGGTCTAAAAGGGGTCTGCAGTAGGTGAAAATGATACATTTTTATAGTTAAGGGAGTCAAAATGTACAGATTCATAAACGAGGGGGGTAAGGTGATACTCGTTAATAGTTGAGGGGGTCTTGGTGTAAATAACCCTTACTATTTTATCAAGAGAAATGTGTCCATATGGATCATATACCTACACTTATTTGATCAATTTCTTATTATAGGAAAGGAAAATCAAGCTCCTAATATTCAGGTCCATCGAGCCCCTAATGTGTCTATATGGACAGCGTGCCCTACTAGGCCATGGTCCATAATCAATGTAATTGGTACTCTACATGTGAGGCAAGCAAAGAGGTATCCAACCCATTTGTGAACTTAGCAAAAAAGGGAAAAAAAAAAAAAAAAGAACCCAGAAAGTGATATTCAGGAATGTAAAAATAGCTATTTTACAACAATTCCAAATTGCTTGTAACTTAACCAAGTATACACCATTTTAGCCTATATTTCCTCAAAATACTAATTTTAGCATCAATTACCAAAATTATCAAAATAGACCAAAGGATTCAGTAAATTAAGAAACTTATAATGCCCTCATATCAACAACTTTTAAAGTTAATCCAGGTAGCAATTAGCAAAAGACCATATTATAAGTACCATCATCATCTGAAGAACAATAAAGCATGAAGTAGGTACAAGTGTCCAACTTTGCCATGTAGCATGAAACGTCAGCTCTATGATGGCCTTAGGATGCCACATGTCAACCTTGTAAGGCAACGACACATGGTCCAATGGAGCATCACCGCATTCACACCTTCAAATGAAGCAAGACCAAGGACAAAAGCATAAGGGACCCACGAGTCTTCCCTTGATTGGTATCATCGACTAGCTGCCAAAAAGGGCACTTGCCCCCTCGACTGGTAAGGTAACCTGATTAGCCCTCAAAGGAGAGCTCACCACCCTGGCTCCCTTGATCAGTAACATGGATCAGCTGCCAAAAGGGCACGCAGTTTTTTTGAGTAGTCCATGTCAATGATCTCTAGGACAACAGTAGGGGTGTTCAAGCAACGGAATTATCCGACAAATCCGACCCGAACCGTCTGACCCGAAGACATCACGGACGGTTTCGAGCTTAAATTCGGTTTTCAGTTGGTTTTCGGTTCCACATAATTAAAAATAACTAAACCCAAACCGACCGTATATTACTAATAATGATGCAAAATTCTGATGATGGTGCCACATGTATTTATCTAATTGGTTTGACAAATTACACACTACTTCCAACACCCTTATCTCTTCCCCTTCTTCACATTTACAGACATCTCTCTCTATCTCAAAGAACTCAAAAGACAGAACATGATGATGATCTCACCAACCCCCCTTTCTTCTCTCTCTCTCTCTCTCTCTCTCTCTCTCTCTCTGAGTCATAGATTTCAAACCATCTTGTATCTCAAAAAACTCAAACGGCAGATAGATGATGATGGTCTCTCTCACAGTCACAGATTTCAAACCATCTTGTATCTCAAAAAACTCAAACAACAGGTAGATGATGATGAGCACCCACCTACCCTTTTCCTCTCTCTCTCTCTATATCTCTTAGGCTCTCATTTTCTTCATAAATTTCCCAAGTTTTCTCTCTCTCTCTCTCTCTCTCTCTCTCTCTCTCTCTCTCTCTCTCTCTCACGAATCCTCTCTCTGTTTCTCTTTGAAACCCTAATGCATCCATAGTTTCTCTAATGGTCTCACCCCTAAATCTAAACTCAATCTTTAATTTCAAACCCTAAATACTCGATATATTGCAGATCAACTGTGAAAACCCTCTTTGATTCAAGGCTATTGATGAAGAAAACCCTATAACTTTGAAGTATTGAAGTTTCAAAGTTCTCGACTCAACGATCAACCAAACCCTTGGTACAATTTTATGAAAATTTTGTAATTTTTTTGTTAATGGTTCATCACTATTTTAATAATTTTTACTCAAACCTTCCAACCCATTCACAAATTATTCTCTCTCTCTCTCTCTCTCAAAAGTAAAAACACACACATGTATTACATGCATACACCTATGCACTCTCTGTTTTTCTCTCCTCACTGTCTCTGTACATGAACTCGGATTTTCTCCGGAAAATTGAAGAGTGATTTGGGAAAAACTTTTTTTCCAAATATAGAAACAGAAAGATTTTTCAAATAGATTAGTACTATTTTTTTTTCATTTTTTTTTTTCAAGATTTTGGTTTTTTTTTAGTGCTAAAATATGGTAGATATCATATATGTATTTGATAATTGTTTCATAAGAACTGAATATGATGGTGCTAAATTTTTCAGTTTCCAATAACAATTTATTTATTTCTGGTTTGTAAGTAATTGGATGTTGCCACATTGGAAGTTGAATCTACTAAGCCCTTAATCTGAACATCACTATTTCTAATACCATGGCCACTTGGCAAGAAAACCTATTTTGGATGTAAAAGGCTGATTTTTTGTTTTTTTGTATTTTCGATCTACTCACTTAAGTTGACTTGTATTTTTTTAGATGGTTAGATATTAAGTACAGGTTCTAAATGTTTCTGTTCATATTGATTGTTCTGTTTAATGTGTTCTTTATTCAAATTAAGGGTATTGAAAGTATAATCTTTGCTGATTTGTTCAAGTTCTGTTTGAAAATACATTGAGCTACAAGTTATGATTACATTGAACTTCATTTATTTTTTGTAATTGGTTTAGACAAATCAAATATATTTATTTGTTGGGTTATAAGTTTTGAAAAAATAATCTTTGAGTTTTTTGTTTTTTCAGTTTTCAAGAATTAGTTTTAAAAAAAAAAATCAAAATGTGTATTATTTTTTAAATGCTGTTATGATTTTTTGTTTAAGTTTGTCATGTTTTTGTATCATTGCTTTTAAATTGTTCATGCAATCTTTGTAATAGATAATGGATCATCCAAATCAACCAGCTGCCCAGGATGCTACTGTTATTCCCCCTTCTACTATCTAAGACCCTATTGATAATCCTTTAAAACCACCTAAGGTGCGTGCAAAAGGTACTGGGAGAAAACCTTCAAGGGCATGGGATCATTTTGATAAAATCAAGTCTGAAGATGGGGTAACTAGGGTTGTTTGTAAATATTGTCAAAAGGAATATTTGGCTTATTCGAAGGGGCATGGGACAAGCAACTTGTTGAGTCACTTGACTATATTCTCACAGAGATGTGGATAATAATGGAAAACAAACTTTGCAAAAGGTATTGGGAGAAAACCTTCAAGGGCATGGGATCATTTTGATAAAATCAAGTCTAAAGATGGGGTAACTAGGGCTGTTTGTAAATATTGTCAAAAGGAGTACTTGGCTGATTCGAAGGGGAGTAAGACAAGCAACTTGTTGAGTCACTTGACTATATTCTCGCAGAGATGTGGATAATAATGAAAAACAAACTTTGTCTTTTCAGTCCAAAAAAGATGGAGATGAGGGTATTAACCTTGTGGCAATGAGCTTTAGTGTAGAAGCCGCAAGAAGAGCTCTTGCTGAGATGATAGTGCTTGATGAATTACCTTTTAGGTTTGTAGAAGGTGAAGGGTTTAAGAGATTTTGCGCCGTTTTGCAACCAAAGTTTAAGAACATTCCATCTCGTGTTACCATTGCTAGAGACATTGTAGGGATTTTCTACAATGAGAGGGATAGGTTGAGGAAAGTATTGAAAGGGCGTAGGATTTGCCTCACCACTGACACGTGGACTCAATTCAGAACTTAAACTATATTTGTCCAACAGCCCACTTTATAGATGATGACTAGAAATTGCAAAAAAGAATCATAAACTTTGGTCAAGTGGAGGATCATAAAGGAGAGACAATTGGTAAAAAACTTGAAATGTGCTTACTCGAATGGAACATTGGTAGCATAGTTACATTGACTGTAGACAATGCTAGTTCCAACAACACCACAATTAAGTTTTTAAAGCGGAAAACAAGGGACTGGAAAGGGACTGTTTTGGGGCATGAATTCTTACACGTGTTGTTGTGCGCATATTCTGAACCTTATAGTGGGAGATGGTTTGAAAGAGCTTCATTTTGTGAAGCAGTGAGGTATGTGAAGTCCCCTCCCAATAGATATGAAGTTTTTAAGAAGTGTGTTGAGAAACAAAAAATTGTGTCGAAAAGTCTTGTGTGTCTTGATATGCCAACTAGGTGCAACTCCTCCTACCTAATGTTGGAAGCTACTGAAAAGTTTGAAAAGGCTTTTGAGAGATTAGAGGACGAGGACTCTAATTACCGAGCTTACTTCAAGGGTTGCGAGGGTGAGGATGGAGATGGGCAAGTGTTTGGGGATGAAGATGAGAATGAGGATGGGGATGGGGAAGGGGTAAATGGGAGGAAGAAGTCAAGGAGATCTCCAACAACAAGAGATTGGAATAATTGCAGAATTTTTTTAAAGTTCTTAAAACTTTTTTACAATGCAACCAAACGATTTTCAGGTTATCTTTTTGTTACTTCCAATTACTTCTTTGATGAGATGTTTGTCATCCAAACCAAGATAGAGCAATTAATCAAAAAGGATGACACACTTTCGTCCACAATGGCGCAAAAAATGAAAGAAAATTTTGAAAAGTATTGGGGTAATGGGGAGAAAATCAACTTGTTTATGTTGTTGTTTTACTTGATCCTAGGAAGAAACTGAGGTATCTGAAATTCTGTTTTGCACAATTGCTTGTTGAAAGAGTGGTGAATGAGATGACAGGTCGGGCAAAGGATTGTCTGTCTCGTTTGTACGAGCATTATGCTTCTCATGACTCGGTAACTGTCGAAATGTCTAATGTGTGTGAAGGATCAGCGATGAAGGTTGATGATGATTGTGATGATCCACATCTATTAATTGCTTCTCAATTTAATACTTTATTTGGAAGAGAAATGCTCTAGTCTGTGTAAATTTGAGGTTGATAAGTACTTGGCAGAAAGGTGTGAAGCTTCCAATGAAGAAAAGTATGATATATTGGGATATTGGAAAGTGGTAGCGCTTGGAATTTTTTTGGCAATACTGCTTATTGCATTTGATGTATTTCGGACAGATTCTATTCCTAGTGCTTCAGATTAGTATGCAATTTATTTGATGTTTTTGGATGAATAAAACTTTTGAGCTTTGGTTGTTTGTTTTTGGATTGATTTTACACAGGTTATTCATTTAGTATGCCAAATTATTTTTTATTTTTGGATGAATGAAATATTTTAGTTTGGGATGTTTATGCTTGGATTTATTTTACAAGTTATTTATTTTATTCATAATGGGCTGTTTGGACTGATTTTAAATAAATTATTATGGTTTTTTTTAATGGGCTTACCTGTAGAAAGGGCTGTTTGGGCCATTTTTCAAAGTAAAACATAACTAAATTATAAAATTGGGTTGTTTGAATGTTAAATGGGCTAAAAATACTATTAATTCATAAAGGCCCAAAATTGAAGGCCCAACCCACCCAACCGATCTGAACCCGACCGTTAAACCGAAAATCATCTATGAGCAGTTTCGACAACAAATCCAGTTGGCAACGGTTGATTTTTCAATCCACCTGCATTATTCCGGTTCAGTAGTGGATGTCTAACCCGACCCGAACCGACTCGTGTACACCCCTAGACAACAGTTCACTCCTCGATTGGCCTCAATGAGCAACCTACCACAAGAAGATATCCAACCTATACCTAGTTCTGTTGTGTTAAACCTAAGACGAAAGTAAGGCCTAGGACATCTGCTCAGGATCACTGGACAAGCTATGGCTTGGAGGCTAGACTCAATGGATTGTTAGGATTGCTTGGTCACCCCCTTGGGCAGCCCTACCTTGACAAATTTGGAAAGAGATAAGGACTTTGACCAAGACATGTTATATCTCAAATGATGTATCTTACCTACCTCTTTCGACTTAGAGTAATGCTAGGCTTCATGAAAATTCTCCACCATTAGATTAGTTTGTGGTGTTTTATTATTATATGTTATGCAATCACATACACTAAGTTACAACTTATCCATCATAGAGCACTATAAGACATAACTAAGTTTATACTATTTGCAAAACTAAGACTTCAAAATTAAAACAAACTTACATTAAAGTAAGTTGCTTTTCTTGTTTTGCTACCTACCACACTAGATTATTTCTTAAAGCTTCATGAAGCTTTTCATGATATCACTTTCATGAAGCCGCATTACTCTTCAACTTATGACACATTCCCCGATGTTTATCATACCTACCTACTACAACCTCCATGATACATATTCCAAGACCTAACAGCGCTAGTGGATAGTTGAAACCACTGGATCATCGAACCAAGAGCGATGAGCCACATGGCCGGAGTGAGATGTCCTCCATGGTTCAACCATCCTATAAAAGGGGACCTTTCCCCATGCATGCAGACACAAGCAGGCTTCAAGCCCCCTCTAGCAAGCTTAAGAGCTCTCTCCCCACTACCACCCTCTTTCTATCCAAAGCTACGTTGCCTCTCTCCTCCACATTTGTTGTTCCCTTGCCAGCTCAGTGCCTATCACCTTCCCAAATCCACCTCAAGTGCTCATAATAACAATAAAGAAATAGTTCCCACAATGAGAAAAAGTCGAGTGATGTTCTTGAGCTTCTCCAATTTGTCTTCCAAGTAATGGCAATAGTACCATTACATATACAAAGGAAAAGACAGTAAATTGTGAATGTCACCAGCACTTCAATTCAACTACTAAGCATGTGGTAGATTACACCAAGAAAATAACGAATAAAAAAAAGAAGAAAAAACCTGCAATCGTATTTTCTGGACTTGGTACACCAGATACTGCTGAAAGATGCCTGAAATTGCAGTAAATGTGATTATTAATGAATTATCTGTAATCTAAAATGTCAAACATACTTAATAACCATAAAATACTGAGCAAAAACATACGAGACATCAGAACCAAAAAGTAGGACCAATGAAGTTAGATTAAAGGGAAATCAGTCAAGGAAGAACTAAACTGCACTGATAAGCTATGTTTTCAGAATTTAAAATAAAGGGAAATCAGCAACAAGATCCTTATTATATAATTTTTGTATGATAAACTATGCTTTCAAAATTTGGTTACCAAATGAAGATAACTATCAATCCGATAAACTACAGACATTATAAAATAAAGAGCCAATGAGAGATGGTATTCATACTAAGTTCTTTTAAAGTTGTGAGTTTTATCATTAATCACGTCCAACTTTTATTTAATCCATTTACAAATATATTTTTAAAATTTAAATAGTGGCAATACATGCCCTTGATAGAGTAGAATGGCGAAACAAGACTCATGTAGTCAACCCCACTTGATTGGGACACAAGGCTTAGTTGGTTTGGTTTGGTTTGGTTTGGTTTAGTACATGCATGCAGTATTTAAGGAATATAAGGTGAAAATTTGTTATCAAGGCCCTAATTTAGAATCCATGTTTTTTAAAACATTAAGATCTTGAGAGTGACAAATCTGGAAGAACAACTCAAAAGATAAAAAAAAGTATTGTTAACTTCTTCATTCTCGATCCAATTTCGAACTTTGAAGTAAAATTAGTACAAATAAGAATCCCCTTCGTTACATGATTTCTTCTTCATATATAGATATAGGATATATGGAGCAATCACTTAGAAGTACATAAGGTGCAACAACATCAAATAAATAAGTCACTGCAATTAAAATTTGTGCTCCTAAGATATTATATCATGAAAATGAAATATGGCATAACTTATCTTCAAGGAAACATATGGCATTTAAAAACTTGGAAAATGTAACACCTAAAGAAGCCCATTGGTGTCACACTGTTGGAAAGAAAGAAAAAAGGAAGGAAAGAACGACGGCATCAAAAACTGGAAGAAGAAGACAAGGAAAGGAGGGGAGGCGGGTGCTAGAGAGAGAGAGAGAGAGAGGTTAAAAAATTTTGTAGAAGCCTATATTTGTAGACAATCCACTTGAGGAAGCAAAAGAAAATAATAATAATTAACCTCTAAGTTAAAGCCTAAAAATAAGACAAAAATTATCGTTATAGCCTAAACTTAAGATAGACAAAAAAAAAACAAAACAAAACAAAACAAAACAAAACAAAACAAGCCCTAATCAATCCTAAAAATGTCTGCCTCTGTCTATGCCTAAAATATGTATGTAGCTCCTCTCCACAATCATTATCAATTAATTAAAATGGTTTTCTTCAAAATAAAATTCATAGATGAGATGGATGGATTTAGCTACACAAATTGCCAAGATGTTGAGAAACTATAATCCAAATGTGTAAGGTGTGGATTAAGACATATATTATGTCCTCATAAAAGACAAATAACTTAGTCTCCTGCAAATCAAATCGAACAAGCTATTAAATCTGATGAAGACATTTATCAAAGAAAAAAACTAACATAATTATGAATGAATATGGAGGATCCTGAGGAAAGAACCTGTGACAATTAAAAGAACAACATCACAACTGCAAAGTAATTGAGAAACTATAGCTTTTATTGGATGAAAAATCCATGGGGATCCCGCAGCCAAAATAGCATAACCTGCCTAGATTAAAGAAGAACAGAAACCAAACTTAATTTATGCAATCAATATCAATACAAAAATAACAAAACAGGCAACGAAAAGAATATCATATGCCCATTTAAAGTCCAAAAAAGAATAATATACACTTGCCAATAAAACACAGTAAAGAATACTCCCGGCAAGGCTTGTTGGTTTCCGATGACCAAATAAAGGAGCCTCATGCAGTATATCAAGGAACCTATATTAGAAAACATAGAGATCAATATAAGTCAAAATCCAGTTTAAAGCGTGTATAGTTGAGAAGCTGCGCCTTGTTCATGCTAAAAACCAAGGTGCTCAAAGATTAGGTTCAGCAATTGAACACAATTACATGACCAGCATAACTGCATTGCAAGCAAACGTCAAATGTAATACATACCCAAACAAATGCACAAACACAAAGGAAAAGCAAGCACATTTGGTGTTATGCTGACATTACAAGTAAAATAAATAAATAAATAGAAGTCCCCCTCTCTAAACCCACCATTTCATTCTCTGTTAAGATGTGGAAATTTCTTAAAAAACTACTACAAATCAAACAAAACAATGATCCTAGATAAAGTACACAAGATTGTTACCGAGAAACATGAGTTCCTACAGCCTATTCTGTTTTTTAATATAAATTAGAATAAATTCTATCCCTAATTTTATTACGGGAGCATAATGAATTAGCCACAAGCTCAATTACAACAATCACCCAATAACATGTATCTTCCCCATAAATTTTTCGCAACTGTTTTATATCAAAACACAGCCATTAGTCATGCCTACAGAGTCTCGAAGCCAGAAAAATTAGCAAAAATCCAAACTTGTTAACTGAAATCGAAAGAAAAGGAAAAGATCAAAATCAACCAAGAATTGCTTACTACTCCAAAGCCATAAACACCAAAAATTAGAAACTAGTTTCGACAAAAAAAATAAATACCAAAAATATATTTTTAAATTTTCAAAAATTATTTCCAACCCATTGGAACATAAAATAATATGAACATAATGAGTTTTTATGATTTTTTTCACCAAACTAATTCTTCAAAAAAATTCACTCTCGTTCTCGTGTCTTCGCTCAAAAACCTACCATCTACATAACAATTGAATGCGAATCATGACACCAAATAATTCACATCAAAAAATGTCAATGCGCAACATAGAATGAGTATTATCAAAACATATACATACAAATACATATATGTATATGCACATAGAGTGTACAAGTCTTACATGGCGTTTTCTTCAGCAGATGGTGTGGGATTGCTAGAAGCGTGTCTGTCAGTCGACATCTTCTTCTTCTTCTTCTTCTTTCTAGGGTTTCTAATTCTCCGAATTGATTACAGTTTTCGAATGATGATTCGATTGAGAGCTTTCGGATTTGGAAATTTGGAAATGGTTTTTGGTAGTTTCGCTGAAACGGTGGTGGTGGTAGTGGTGGTGGGGTCAGTGGAAGAGTCTCTTCTCTGGTACTGAAACGCGAGCCGTGATGGATGAGCTGATCTTGTGGCTCCAAACCGGCTCCAACCCAGCTGACTTCTTCTGTCGCGTTGCCATTGTGTGAGAGAGAGGGTGAGGTGTATGTTTTAATAGCCGTGGTACATGCCCCCATTATTTAGACGCGAATTTGTCTCGAATTTGTTTGATTGGTTGTTCGGTCAATCATTTAGTCAATTGTTTGGTAAAGAAATTGACAATTACGATCGATAAGGTGACAATCGTGATAAACAAGTATTTCATCTGGTTGTCTAAGTGATCGTCCAATCGGTCGCCTGGTGACCATAAATTCGCGCTTGAAACTGTCGAGACCTGAAACATTAGTGATGTTTTAAATCGTGTAAATCAATCAATAAAATTTCAACTTCTCTGAAATGCTTGATTCGGGTTGGATTCGCATCTAAACACTCATAGCCTCACTGAAATAAAAAGTGCGAATAAAATTACAACTCAAAGGAGTTTTGTCAAACGGGATTGCCAAGAATAAAACCTAACATTCTTAATTTATCGTTGTTTCTATAATTTTATTTTTAAAAAAAAAAATTATTTACAAGTACACACTTAGTTCACATCATTTACAAATTAATATATATATATTATTTTCATACGTACCACCAATTTTCAAATGATATGAAATTATCCTCATCTTCTCCACTAACTCTAGCCCTTCTGATTATCACCCCTTACCATCGTTGCCCCATTACCATTGTAGCCCTTACCACCATTACCCTACCATCATCCCAGCCTCCCACTGCAACAACATACAATCGCTACAACCCCTACTCCGTTGCTAGAGCTGTGCAAAATACCGTCAAATTCACTAAAATCGCATCGATCCGCATCAATTTGCACCAAACTAACCGCTAACCGCGATTTAAACTTTAAAATTTATAATCCGCCTTCCAAACCGCTCCGCTCCACTATAATTAATACATATATATTTTTTAACCTCTAATGAAATATCAATGTAAAAATAAGTGTGAGAGATATTTAAAATATGAAATATATTACAAATTAGTAGTTATATAGATATGAAACATATTATGTAAAACTACTTTGTATTATATATATAAAATATTATACAAATTAGTGTCATATATTATGCGACTGTATGATAATTAGTTAGAATATTCTTCAATCCGCCAATCCGCCAAATACCGTGCAACCGCAATTTGTCAATCCGCTAATCCACAAATCCACCATTTAGTTTGTAATTTTACTCTCAAACCATCTGAACCGCACTGCGCACACCTCTACCCGTTGTTATCTCGTTGTCCCCTCTCGACGCTACCATCATCCATTTTTCTCTCTCTTCAAACAAAAATATCTTTCTCTCTCTCTTTTCAAACACATATCTGTCTACACTCTGCGTGTGGTAGGTCACCGACTAAAGGTGAGTTGCGATGGTGGTAGTTTCTAGGTGATAAGAGGCACGATGGTGGTAGTTCATTGGGGTTTGAAAGCGCAATGGTAGTGGTTGCGAAGTAGTGGGTCATTGAGGATAGTCGCTATAATGATGGTGGTTACAGGGTGGTGAAGGAAGCAATCAAACTAGTAAGGTAGCAAAGCGACAGGGTTAGAAAGAGAGAGGGGGTTCACCAATGGCTGGTGTTGATAGTAGTAGCGGCTTGTGTGTATTGAGGGATTTAAGGTTTTTTCCCAAAAGGTAACCTAGTTGAGAGGCATGCTGGTAATAAAAATATACAAGGTAATGGTTTGAACTGAGAGTAAGAGTGGTACGCAGATAGAATTTATGGAGAAGTATTTTGTGAATGACAACACATGGCTAAGGTGATGCTGAAGTATCAGTTGAGGTGCCACGTGGCCTGGTCACGTTGCCAAGATGATCTCGATTAGGTCGAGGTTATCTACAGGGCTACCGGAATCTGAGATAAGCAGATAAGGGACAAGAGTCCTAGAACACGGGGGGATCTCAGTCTAGATAAAAATAAGTCTCAAGAAGAGTTTATCTCTATCTAGCTGAAGGACCTGGATAAGCATTGAACCTAAGTCCATTGAAACTAGGCTTTTGAAGGGATCAGGTCAGTATTGACTATAAAAACAGGGCATTCCCGTGGGTCTTAGGTATGTGTAACATACTATGAGCGGTAAATTGTGAGTTTAAGTACTTATTTGATATCTTTAAGAGATTACTGACTTGATTATCGGAGTGCCCCCAGATGGATGAACCACCGCCAGATTCTCATCTTCTTGTGCATGTTGTTGAGCTTAATCTATTCTGCCGGTGCTCTCCAGCTAAATTCCCCGTTTGGTTGTGTGGTCGGAAATCTACACCCACAATTTGGTGTCGTTTGTGAGAACTTAAGGAGAATAGATGGCCAATAACAGACAGAGAGTGAGAGTGGTGAGCATGCAGATCCCAACTTCGAGGAAGAAAACCGTAATGAAAGAGCGCAAGATCCGAATCCTAGGGAGAACGACGTCGGCAAAGAGAGTAACGCCTCAAAGAAAGCTGGCCGAGATGAGTATTACAACGAAAGCGACCTCTAGGTATGGAAGGATAGATGCTTGAGGAGGGACAGCAAGATAAAAGGGATGGCAAACAAGTTGGCAGACCTATAAATCGGTTGTCAACTTCATGATGCAAAACAACGTAATGCGACCACCATTCCCGTTGCAGGACACGCCGGTATCAGTTACCAAGAATGATGCCCAGAAACGGGAGCAAAAAACAATCCCAGTAGTCCCACAGCATGGCAAGGAAAAGGAGTCTCACATCGGCATATCGGGTGAGCAAAGTAAGTGAGAAGCAAGTTGCAAAAGACACCCTGAACCAAGGGGACCTATGCCAAAGAACCTCGGCATATCCAGGGGAAGAACAGTGAACGAAGAGAAGTCTAAGAGGATGCACAATGACGCCGGGAGCAGCGCGCCAAAAAGGCTTAAATCTGTCGATAGGCAAGCTACTGGCTGAATGAATGAGGACTTGAGAGACTACCTGTAGAGGAAGCGACACAACGCCGAGATCACATCTCCCGTCATGCCGAGGACGCCATTTTCGGTGGAGTTGGATGCATTTGAGGCCCTAAAGAGGTTCCACATGCCGAGGTTCCAAATATACGACGGTAAGTCCGATCCGAACTTTCATGTTGGTTTATATTTGAATTCAATGGCTCTGTAGAATGGGAACAAGCAGTTGTTGTGCAAGGTATTCCCCTCATCCTTTGGGGAGATAGTATCTAATTGGTTTCATAAGTTACCGAAAGGAACTATGAAGAGGTAGGAAGGTCTGGCCGAGATGTTTGTGGCCAGGTTTGTTACAAACAAGTTGCCGCCACTAAGGATAGACTCCTTACTGGCTTTGAACATTAGCGAAGGTGAAAGTCTTAGGAATTACGCCAAGAGGTATTATGAGATGTTCAACCGAATTCCTACTTGCAACCAGGAGCTGGCGGTCGTGTCTTTTAAGAACAGCCTGGATGACGAATGCCCTCTTCGGAAATCGCTGACAAAAACTCTGCCAAAAAGTATAGAGGAGCTCTTGGCACGAATCGAGAAATATGCCAAGGCAGAAAAGGACACGCAAGGAACGAAGACACCAAAGTAAGAGAAGAAAAACGGCTCGCCAAAGCGAGGCCGAGATAATTCTAGTTAAACAGGCAGGAGACAGGGTTGAGGGCTGCACAGACAGTCACCACTGTGTTCAGAATCCCAATCTACAAAGTTCTTGAAAGGATCAGGGACCAGCCGTGTTACAAAACGCTGGAGAAGATCCCTCGCGAGTTTATAGGAAGGAACCTTGGGAAGCATTGTGTTTACTATAATGAGGAGGGACACTTGACTTAAGGTTATAGGGCTCTAAAGACGTACTTGGAGGATCTAGCCAGACATGGTCACCTAAGAGACCTAATAGATGAGGCCAAGACAAGGGAAGAGCATGCAAGGCTTTCCCAAGCACCAGCAGCACCTCCTCCACCACCGCCACTGCAGCAAGTACATGGACCTGGGGTGATCAATGTGATTCATTCGAAGGTCAATGAAAGTGATGTACGTAAGGAGACTCAGAGAGTGAGGCACCTGCAGCACGTGTATCAGGTCTAGCAGAAGAAGCCTAAGTCAAGTGAGTACCAGGGACCAATGGTTTCTTTTATTGAGTTAGACCTAAATATGGTGCAACATCTACACAACGATGCCCTAGTAATAACACTGAAGATTAGAGATTGTCAGGTGAGATGCATACTGGTTGATCAAGGCAGTTCTTGTGACATCATGTATATTAGATGTTACAAGGAGCTTGGCCTTTATCCAAATGATTTGGAACAGTCCAACAGCCCGATGGTTAGATTCAATGGAACACCGACATGGCCTCTAGGAGCCACGAATTTAGAGTTGCAGGCAGGCACCAAGAAGGTAAACATGGAGTTTACAGTAATTGATACCCCTTCCTCTTACAATGTTATTTTGGGTAGACTGTGGTTGCATGCAATAAGGTTGTTCCCTCAACGCTGCACTAGCATCCATATAACGATGCCCTGGTAATAACATTGAAGATTGGAGAGTGTCAGGTGAGACACATACTGGTTGATCAATGCAATTCTTGTGACATCACGTATGTTAGATGTTATAAGGAGCTTGGCCTTCACCCAGATGATCTGGGACAATCCAACAGCCCGATGGTTGGATTCAATGGAATGCCGGTGTGGCCTTTAGGAGCTACGAATTTAGAGATGCAGGCAGGCACCAAGAAGGTAAACATGGAGTTTACAGTAATTGACACTCTCTCCCCTTATAATGTTATTTTGGAAAGACCGTGATTGCACGCAATGAGGGTTGTTCCCTCAACGCTACACCAACTGTTGCGATTCCCAACTGAACATAGGATTGAGAAGGTCAGAAAGGATCAAGTGTAGGCAAAAAATTGCACCATGGTAGCAATGAAGTCCACCTACAATGTGCGAGAAGCAGAGACAGTAGAACTTGAAGACAAAGACATAGAGGTCCTAGATGATGTCGGCAAGGAACAAGCCAACAAGAGTAAGGAAGCTTTGAAGAAGATTTTGGTCCAAGAAGATAATATAGAGCGCTTCTTTCTCCTCGGCTCAGGCTTGGCCGAGGAGAA